ATTGTATATACATTTTCTAATGCCTTCCGCATTCTTTTGGCACATTCACGTAAGTATGTTTGTGGAAATTCTGTAGAGAACCAAGTTTGTTCTTAAGTAACTGCGCTGCGCAGAACATTCTTATGTTAACGTTGGGAATGTTACGTGGAAGAGCTGCTAGAGCCAAGAGATCTCCGCAATCAACTGTCTTTTCACTAAACTTTACATCACATAAATAAAGTATTTCTTCTTTTATCTTGCTGCTGATCATGATGTTAGTCAATGCCATCCAAACTGTTCGATGTTTCCCTATTTAGATTCTTTCCATTCCTTTTGTTTTTAATGAGTTTGTCGCCTATAACATAAACAGTTAATAATGCCAATTAACTACTTTTAATTCATATAAGTAAAATGTTGATCAATGAAATTTAACATTTCTGTAGTTTTTCTGCTTACATATAAACATAACTTTGTCCGTAACGAAAGTGCAGTCTTATACTTCATTGTTAGGGCAGTGTCATATATAATTTGAAGCGGATCTGGGATTTTTCTGAATCATATAAAGTATAGGGTTTTTAATGTGTTTACGTGGTTATGAACTAACAAATCTAAAAGAATGAAATCTCGTTTCTTTTCTTCCCCCCACCCCCTTTTTTTTCTTCTTCTTCTTCTTAATATATAGAACTGAAGAGAGCTTGTTCAACCAGAGTCTCCATGCACACTTTCTAATGACAGGTTTTCATAGACACAAATCGTCAGATGTGATTCACGATAATTTCTCATTGAGACAAAGTTTTCTTGTAATTTGGCTCTTCTTTTTCTCCTATTAATCGTTAATTCGTGCGCTTACTATTCTTTATAGCTATGAATGATGTCTTTGTTTCGCTTATCAAGGTTTTATAGTGGCGTCAAGTGGTATTGTTTTCGAAGCGTTCTTGGTAAATTTTTTTGATCTCACAACAATCGAAGAGTTAAAACTGTTTTTCCCCCAACAGATAGGTTTAAAGAAAATGAAATTTTTTTTTTAAAAAAATTATTAACATTAAATACGTAATTAAATCACGATTTTGATTATATACATTTCTCGCATGATTACCACTGATGTTCTTAGTTTCAGAAATTTATCGGGCAATAAATATCTGAAACTAGGGAAAAAGAAATACATTTTGCCACAGAATACATTTTTAATAAGATGCACTTACAAAAAAAAAAAAAAAGAAATATTAAATTGATTTCTTTTTTTTTAAATTTAATTTTTATAACGAGAGTACTTTAATTGTTAAGTTAAGCATGATTAATGTAAAGTTAAGCATTCTTCCCCAAAGTATTAAATTTAAACTTTTATTGCTATTTTGAAACGATTATTTTTATCATTAACTTTAAATAATAAGAATACACAACTTCTTTCAATTCTCGTAATTATTTTTGAAAATTTTAATTAAATTCTCACAAGGATATAAGCTATGTTTAGGTTAGCCTATAAATTGAAAAAGAAAGATTAAATAGAAATAAAAATTAGATAATTGAATTTTGAAAAAAGAGTTAATTTTAAATAAATTACGCAAGTATAGGGGTTAGCGATTTTCTTACATTTGTTGATAAGGGAGTGGTGATTCTAATCCTTTAAAAATCCTTACCTAATAAAATAGCCCCTGTGATCAAAAAATTGCATTTGCCTGAAATATATTTGAATCCAAGTTTTGATTCTTTAATTTAAGTAAATTATTATAACTATAATTGAATTATTCGAAGCATTAATTATTTAAATAATTATTATAAAAATAAAGCATTCTTAAGTCATGCCACCTCCATAAAAGAACAGATGGGATAAATTTTTATTTGTCGTTAAAAACCTTTACTAATAGCATTCTTTTAATTAACATTAAATGAATTTTGTGTTACCAAACCTAGTAGTATTGAATTCTTCGTAAAGAGACCTAGAAACTACTTTTTCCCCGGTACCTCCCGAGTTCAGTATTCATCAATAAATAATAATAAAAAAGAGGTTATCAAAAGATCGTGCTCTAAAGCTTATACTTCCTCACCCCTCAAATCTACATTTATTAACAAACGCAATTTCAATGCCCCATAACAGTCAGCTTAGGAACATTTACAAATATTTATATCCGTAAGAAATGCTTTCTTTCATAAAGCGGACCCTTAAGCGCTTGTCAATTACGTAATAATCAATCCCTAAAAAATGAAAACGAGTCGAATAAATTGTTCTGTTACCTAGTCCGTGGTCAGAAGGAAAGAGAAAAAAAAACGTAGAAATGTCAGTCGTAAAGAACACTTTCTACGAAATGAGGGGGAAAAAATAAAATAAAATGGCCATTAACACGAACATTTCGAAGCTTTTTTGAGATCGTCACGGATTTCTTATAAATAGCGATGGGAATGAAAATGGAATACATGGATTCTTTTTTGTTCTTATTAGTCTTTAACTTCTCGAAGCGCGGGAATTTTGAAGGTCTTCAAAAGGAACCGCCGCTCAGCGCAAGTCCGCGAAATAAGTCAGATTTTGCATGTTTTGCGCTGAGAATGCTGTCGAGCGAGCGGTGATATTATTTATTCAGAAACGCTTCGAAACCGGATTCTGTCCAATACTTAACTTAGTTTGGAAAATTAGTGCGACGAGATTTATATTTGAGCAATGAAAAGAAAAGAAAAATAAATCGGAGGAGGGTAGGTTTCGAAATGTTTCGAGTTTTTTCTTGATTTATCTAGTTTCATTAGAAATGGGATTAGATGTGTCGTATGTTAATGTGGAGGAATAACTTAGCTAAATCATGGATTTTTTATGATTTGGGGGTTTATTTCTATTTTTTTCTCTCTCTCTCTTTTAGACCGTGGTTTGCTATCTTTGACTTTCTCTATTCTCTCTATTTTAAAAGAAGTCGTATCTCTGTTTTTTAAAAAAAAGGGTAAAAAAGAAAACTCTTTTCAATGGCATTCACCTAAAATATATTGGGAAATGTTTAAAACAAATTAATAAAATTATTGGTTACATTTTTCTCATTTGCTATTAATTGAAGAAATACATTCGTTTTCCGAAATTCAAGATTTTAAATAATGTTCAAAACATCTTACACTTACTTAAGCAACTTGCAAATTTTTAGCATATTATATATGATAAATAATATATATGATAAAAACTTCATTAGGTTGATAATAATATATATGATATATATGATAAAAACTTCATTAGAATGAAAATATATATGATAAGAACATGATATAAAAAATTATATATGATTCATCATATCATATTCATCAAAAAATATAATATATATGAAAAAATATGATTAAAAAATATATATGAAAAAATATTATGATTAAAACATATATATGATTATTATGATTATAATTTAAAATATATGTGATTATTATGATTTAAAATATATATGATTATTATGATTCATCATATCATATTCATCAGAAATATATATGATTTTATCATATATATGATAAAAATTTCATTAGATTTTGAAATGAATTTAAACTAATTTATTCTTATGCTTAGGACAAGGTTGATATTCGTAATAAATTGTGTTTTATTCTCAATTTAAATATTTTAAATTTTTTTAATAATTAAAAAATATTTAGTATTTCATTGACCTGAATTCTATTTTAAGAAATTAAGATATGCAACAAAGGATAAGGTGTACTTTACGCTATGTAGACTAAAGCAACAGACTACGTGAATAAAGCCCAAATGAAAGAACATAATTTGGCAAAGATAATCTTTAGAATTAAGATTTTAAGAATCAAAATAAAATACTTCGTGCTGCATACAGCTGTGATAAAATATAATATTCAAATCTTCCTTCAAACGAAATTCGAAAATGAACACAGAAATGTTTTATTTTTTGTTCTTAACTGTAGCCAATCACTCAATTATTTTCTTTTTTTTTAAATGTTTTTTTTTTTTTCAGTTGCCAAAAAAAATCCATCTTTGAATTTTTATCAGTTTTTTTAATGCAGTTTTAGAGTGTTTTCTTTTGGAAGGTTTAACTTTTGTAACGACATATCAGCAAAAAATCAACATAATTAAGATTTTCAGAAAATAACTTTGTAAACTGACATAAATGTTGAGCAAGACTCATTATAATTTTTTTTAAAGTTTTCCTACCAAGAATGTTGTGGCTTTCTTGTATGATCTTTACTATTTATTTAAATCGTTTGTTTTGTTTATGTCTAATTCTAACGAGAAATTTTACTTCGAATATGCGGCTGTTTGTTTTAAAGTCTAGCTTATTTCCGACGTCATAAATAATGGGATACGGGTGTTATGCTTCATATATTTTTATGTTCATATGTCCCCGTTAAGAGTATTTATATCTCTGAGCACTTACGTAAGATTTCAAAAATGTAATAACTTTCGTCCAGTTTTTTTAGGATGCATAAGCGTTTTGAAGTAACTTAACACATTAATGCCCAAGTCATAATCTTTTAATAACATTTTGTATATTAGTATTCCATCAACTGAAAAATTTCTACAAAAAATTTATTTGAAAAGGTTAGAAACACAATGTAAAATGTCAAACTGTAGAAATCTGAATTTATGTCAAAATCAGAGGAAGTAAGTTCTTGTAAGTACTTACTACAATATTTGCTGAATAAATTCAATTTATTTATCAAAAATTTATAGTTTTCGTTTGGATCTACGCAAAAAACTGCTTTTAAGAACTTGAAAAGAATAATGGTTATATTCGAATCAGATTTAAGAATGATAAAAGATAACTTAGAGTCGGACTTGAAAAGGAAAAAAGTGACCGAGTCAATTAACCAAAAAAAGGGGGGAAAAAAGACCTGTCCGAATGTTTGATACATTCTACCATTATTGAAATTTAAAATAACAGAGTATTTAACAGTAATTTATGCCAGAAAGAAGTAATCGATCAATCTTAAAATCATCTTTAAAAAGGGATTATGTGCACTAAAGGTTTGAATTTAGTCTAATTTTTTTACCATTTCATATTAAAGCAGATATTGACCTCTTTTTTTTTCTTCTTTTTTAGGTACACCAGTCAACCGCATACCAATCATGGCTAAACAAGTGCTTGATTTATATGAACTATACAGGCTAGTTGTAGCTCGTGGTGGTCTAGTCGAAGTCATAAACAAAAAAATATGGCGAGAAATCACAAAGGGTCTCAACTTGCCTTCCTCCATTACAAGTGCGGCCTTTACTCTACGAACGCAGTAAGTATATATCTTACTAATTACAAGAAGGATAAATATTGTTTGTAAATAACATGTTGAATTTTCGAAATTAAATAATATGAGATTATAATTAAACAATATGGCTTAGGGGATACATCTTTCGCCTCCCAATGAGGTGACCCTGGTTTGAATCCCAGCAATTGTTAGTCGATACAAATTCCGCATCTAGCTCACACCGACCGCAGTTCTGACGTAAAATATCCTCAGTGGTGGACGGATCAAGGGTTAAGAGTTCCCTTGCCGTCAGGCTAATCGTGAGAAGTTTTCATGGTTTTCCTCTTCATGTAACAAAAGTTCGAGTTACTTCCATCAAAAAGTCTTCTACGAAAGCCAAACTTCTCAATACTTGATCCAGCAACTTCCTTGTCTTCTGGATAGGGTTCAAAATTACAAGACTACGGAGTTGAACATCGTTAGTTGTAAACTCAGAATTGAGTCAGCTGTTCAACAAAGGATATAAAATTAAATAATATTTTGCTGATCTGGTTGATAATTTCTATCGATTGCTTATTGTAAATAAAATAAATAAGTGTTCCTCAAAAATGAATGACATCAAAATAAAATACTAAATTATTGTTTATAATTTTTTTCTAATTGACACATGCATGAATTATGTCCTTCAATATGAATCAAGTTGAACACCTCTCTTTCAAAAACTCCTTATGTATTCGCCAAATATTATTCGCTGATTTAATTCTATTATTTAAAAAACATGGAAATATAGTGATAAGTGATTTAAATTTGAGTGCTTATCTGCTTGCGTCAATTATTATTGCCATTATCTATTGCTTTGAAATAAGATTATGAAGTGGATGTTTTTGTTTGATTTTTACCTGTTAATTTTAAATTTTTCAGTCTTATGCTTCTTTTTTTATAAAATAGTTTAATAATCAGCATTATAAATTTTTTTTTTAGAATTTTTTATTTGTAAGGCATAAAAAGAAAATCATTAATCGTATGATATACTATTTCTAAACCTTTACTTATTGCCCCATATCAAATGTAGTTTGTATTTATTATTATTAACTACAACTCATTTGCATTTCATATGGTTTATAAGTAGTAAACTTTACATTTATTCATACTGAAAACAAAAATAAATTTTCAAATTATTTTTGATAATGCAGAATTTTTATATATATATTTATTGAAGATTGTTTTTAAACTTCCAGCATTGGCAGCCTTTAACAAATGGTGTTGCTTTCACCTTTTTCAGTTTCATACAGCTTTCTTAATCAATTTGGTTTTTTTGTAATTGCTTTTTAACTTCTAACATTGGCAACATTTAACAAATGCTGTTACTTTCCCCTTTTTCAATTTCATGCAGTCCCGCAGTGGACTGATCGTTAAGACACGGTTCCCAGCAGATCACCGAAGTCAAGCATCACTGGCTGCGGTCAGTGTGCGGGTGGGTGACCACTTGGATCAGTCTGCGTAGGGACCGAGGGTGTGCGGTATTGGTCCTAGCTAAACTGTGCTACCGTAAAGTGCTCGACTTCGCGCGCAGGTCGTCGGGCTACCGAAGCGGGGGTGCCATCCCCTCCGCAGAAGATCAAAATTGTGATGGCATGTCTTCGGATCATCCTCCGGGATGTTTCCCAGACCGTCGCCAATAGCCCATTGTGCAGCTCTAGTGCGACGTAAATTAACAACAACAACAACAGTTTCATACAACTTTCTTAATCAATTTGGTTTTTTCGTAATTGCTTTTTAACTTCTAACATTGGCAACATTTAACAAATGCTATTACTTTCCCCTTTCTCAATTCCATATAACTTTCTTAAAATCAATTTGGTTTTTTTCGTAAATTAAATTGTTTTATATTTACTATGAATAACGAGTTACATAATTTCACTTTTTTATAAAGAAAAAAAGAATGATGTAATAATATTGTTTTTGAGAAATAGCTTCCACTCTGTAAAAATTGTGTTTGTTTTGCGATCTGTAATTACGGGGCTATATTGGTGAAATTGTTGATTTATTATCGAATCTCACAATACCGCAGCTCGACGAAGCGGGTGCTTTTCTCCCCCACCGACATTTCGCATCACCCCCATTCCCCCCACTTCGCTTAAAATCAGCTTTAACATCTCATGACAAGTTCGGCCAGTTTGAGATAGCTGCGGACACTCGAATGCCCAGATTGAACAAATACTTTCCATCGCTGCTCCACCCCCGCCCCCTTATACTCGACAATCCTTTCGGATTGTGATTCAAACGAGGGGCAGGAGTGGACTTGTGTGTCCCCCACCCTTAGTGAGAAGGTTAACAATGCCTCCAAATACTGACCCCCCGTATCACCTCCCTTAATTTAACAACATCGCTCTCCCTGTGCGTACGAAATTTAATTTCTCGCCGGTTCATTGAATATCTGAACACAACGCCTAAGCATTAATTAACGACTGATTAAAGCAGGCCTAGTAGTCAATGATTAGTTAAAGCTCCTAATCAATATTTAATTAATTCCGGGTTTGGGGTTTGAAATCGGGGGGACCAGCTTGCCGCATTAATTAGTTCTTGACCCCCTCCCCCAAAGGCATCTCCCCTCCTCTCCAGACGTAGGGATCAGTGGCACTCGCTCCAGCGTAATTAACAGATTTAATCGAGTAATGCGAACATTAAGTTGTGTCCGAGATATTCGGTATTGTGTATGCGTCGGCGCTCTGTTGTTATTGATAAATTTTCCGGACTGCCGGACAATGGCTAAGGGAAGGGGCTGTTGCTATGCGGTTGCCCCGGTGGGAAAAGGGGGTGCCCACGGGGGCGTCAATTCCGTGTACGACTTGCTGATGTCCTGTTATTTCCTACCAAAGAGAGGGGGTGCAGGAGGGTGGGGGAGGGTTGAATTCAAAATTCTAGCTGATTTGATTCGAGTTGTATGTAGTCGGACCTTTTCCTCGATTTTGAATTCTGTTGTCCTCTTATGTCGAAAAGGGCTTTATTGTCTAAGCAAATAGTGACTAGGCTGTCTCCAAAGTAATTAAGTCTACAATTCTTCGGTTTACCCTTTTGGTGAAATACTTCTAACTTAAAGGGTATTATTGTAGACAATGTTTACAAAAAAAAAAACATGGCAACAGTTAACTTTTTCTATTTTTGTTAGTTACTAATTCATTTGTGTTTTAGTTAATTATTTTCTTTTTAGTGATCTCAAGGAATCAATCTTTATTGTTTTTTTTTCCTGCTCTCGTATTCTTACGCAAAAAAGAAATGTAATAAATCTTCTCAAAAGGTATTTTGCGAAAGCTTGGGAGAGGTAATTTCCACCCTCACGCATCTAAAAGTAAAGGACGTTTTGGAAAATAATAAGGAAACACTTAAGGGTTTTTTTGTACCTTGTATGACAAAGTTTATCCACTCAGTAAATTTCATCTTGATTTCGAGAAAATTTTTTTAAGTGAGGAAATTCCCTAACAAAGTTGGATCACCATAATGATATTCTTTAAACAAGTGCGCTGGAAAGTCTTAACGCGCACGTCAAGATGCATTTGTTACAAAATCGGCAAAGATGTGTTCTACACGTTGGCAACAACTTTTCACAGAAATTAAAAGGATGCTCGTGATTCATATTACAATAATAGAAAACATTGATAAAATTTTTATAGGGCCTCGAACTCTTTCGGTGAATTATTTTGGTAAGCACATCTGAGAATTTAAGCATTAATAAAATTAAAATTAGTCAAAGTACAGACAACCCAATGTAACAACTTTAAATATCACCTTTCGGTATTCCTAATCAAACTGTGTAATTTATCAACTTTTGCAAATTTACTGATTACTATGGGAATATTTTAGGTTTAGCTTTTAGGGGCAGAATGAGTCAGAAATGACATATTAACTTACTATTTCATATACCTGAATTTATCGTCCCAAATAACAAACAGACTCTACACCCACTCATGAATGATCTCGGTCTGTAAGGATGCTTTACTGAAAATTCGGAATTATAATATACTAAAGATTATACTCCAGATTAACAAAATAAACCTAACTTGTTTTGAAATGTCTATTTGTATCCTTATGTAACGCGTGTTTGCAGATGTAGCACACGTTATATAAAATGAAATTATATCTAACGGTTTTTTATTTTTTACAGGGCATTCTCAAACACAATTTACAAAACATTATACTAGCTTTTATTTTGATTAAAACAAGTTTCCTTAAACATTGTGGGTGATTGAATATATGCCAGATAGTAGAATTTAAACAATTTTGCCAAACTCACAGCATTAAAATTATACCGATGTTTGAAACTGCGGTCTATAAAATATCTGCTTGAATTTTACGCCTTTCATAAATTTTCTGTTAATTTAATCTCTTTAAGCATACAAAGACCTTAAATTTTAACTATATCTATTTTTTGTTTCTTTTCCCCTTTGTAATTTGGGATAGGAAAGGAAATGAAAATGAGAAAAACCATTTCGCTTTGATTTGGAATAATAAAGTCGGCATTAATGAGAAAATTCCTTGTTTGGCAAGCTCGATACCATGGTAACGCAAAATTCAACCCCTCTAACCCTTTTACCCCATCGTGTGTGGGGCTGTGGGTGAGGCATTAAATAATTCTCCTCTAAATTATGTATTGAATCGATTTGTGTGAAGAAGAGGAAAAAAAAGGTTGCGCTTTTACTTGCTTTAACGACGAGCGACATATTCGATGGATAAATCACCATTAATGGCCTGCATAAGTATTTTTAATGAATATCTAACCCAGCACGGCTTCCCCCCTCCCCTCCCCTACGTGACTGACATACGAGATCACGCGAGAATGCGCGTGACCACGCTATACAACCTTTAATATTTTTTTGTTTTGCATTACTATTTTTGCTACTTACTTAGGTATAAATTTTTTGTCGAGCACGACTTTTCCCTTTCATACTTTAAAATTCCCTTTTATTATTCTCTTTTTTTATCAGCTTCTGATAAAAAGTAATTACTCTTTATGATAACCCGGAGAAAATGTTACTCTTCATGGCTCA